GGGGACTAGCCTCATGACCAAACCCAAAACTATAACTAAGACATCACCTCTGGGTGGCATGGCCATCTACAAATTACAGGCGAGTATATGCCTATGGCAAACTAAAGTTGGAGAGAAAAATATGGGGGATGACATTGCTGACCTCCTTGCAAAACGCATATTGACACACTCTGGTCAGTGACTAAAAATGTTAAAGCCAGACCATCAGCAGGACAGCCAGCTTCCAGGATTTGCAGAATAAGACTTCAGCAATGTCAGCTGCCTTGTTTCTTTGAGGAAAAGTTTCAGATATGGTTTGCAGACACTCAGAGAATTAGTTATTCAGCTTCATCAATTGAAGTGTAAAAATATTACTATTATTACTTTCGCTGCTTGGATTTCTATAGGTTATCGGTTTTAACTGTGCAGTACAACCACACCTGGAATTTGTTTGGTTTTCTTACTGTCAGCACTGTTCTCAAACCCTTAGTATCTGATGACCTTAGGTGTCACTGCAACAATGAAAGTGCCTGTGGTTCACTGTACCTGCTCATCGCGGCACAGTACGGGTGTTAGGTCTGTGTGCGATCCTTGCGGCCCAGCATGGTGCAGTCAGGTTCCCGCGGAGGGAAGAGGCAGAGTTGATTGGTAATCACTGGCCTCTTGAGTATTCCTTTGGAGCTCTGAGAAAACTATCTAAAGAGATTGCAAGGGATCCATCTTGTCTGCAAAAAAAAAAAAAAAAGAAGGAAATAGCTTATCATTGTTAATTGAGTCAATTAAGCGTGTTAGTCAAATTCAATTACAAAAGAAATGTAAGTGCGGCTTTAATTAAGTTACATGCAGAAAGTACATGTTACTGCAGATCACATCATAGGAAGGCAAAGACACAGGCGTCTCGGCAAACATTACCATGGGCAATGACCACTGACCCAACCCAAACAGGAAAATGGTCTGCACTTCATGTCATACATCCAGGACTGGCTGAAGTATGGCAAATGTCAGTAATGTGAAAGCCTGGGGCACCAGAGGATCAAAGAAGGATGAACAGAGTCCTACTCATGACTGATTCACTTGGCAACCCAACAGAAATGTGCAAACACAAAAATAAAAACTCTGGTGGAGGCCATCATCGGGATATTATGTCCATCTCTAACAATGTCCTGCTTCTCTGTGCTCTGCTCAAACTAGCCATGACACCCAATGTAATTCACCCACCAGTGAACCTTCCCGTTTGCAAAAATTTACTTTCAATGTCCAGGAAGCGATTTTGACCCTTCAGCGCTGATACTGCTACATCTAAAAAAAACAGAACAAGAAATGCCAAGTATCCACAATACTTTGATCAGTCCATTAAAGCTTTCAGCCACATATCTCCCAAACAATGCTCTGAATATGTGTAAAGTGCATTTATGTTTGTCTAGTTACATGTTCGTAGCTGTACAAAACTGATCCTTTGGCCTACGTTTTTAAGGTCTATGAAAAAAAAGAAAAAAATGAGCGTTAATGGGCATTATTACAAGGTATGTGACACATTCGGCATCATTCAGAATTATTGCCTGCCAGACAGAGGTAGAATTGATAACCAACCCTCTCCCTGCACCCACCAGGCTGACTACTGACAGGTCTCCATTAGGTTCCCCCGTCGGACAGGCTGGACTCAACTGAGGGAGCCTAGGCCAGCGGAAGCTGCCATATTGGTGGCGTTTCTGATAAGACCGAAAGGTGTCTGTGTCAGTGTGCTCTGTGCTTGTATAGACAGACAGGGCAGGGAGTGGATGGGGGAAGGAAAAGATCATCCTCCACACTCTCTCGCCTCCAACCAGATGAAATAAGCAGGACAAAGAGCCTGCCAGCCAGTAAATTGATATTTATTACCCTCAGGAAGAATAGCAGTCATTCCCACAAGACAGAAAAGGGCATATACAGCAGGAGTCTGGAAGGAGGGGGGTCAGACTGAATTAACCCTTCAGCACCCAACTGAATTACCTTTCTTTATGCAGTGATAGTTTAAGGTCCGAATCACAGGTATCATAAGGCCCAGCAAAACATAGGCACTGCCAATTGATCTCCATCATCCAGCTATAAACGCATTGCAAGCTGCTTCTACTCAAGCAATTTACTAGCTCTAAAATCATTTATTGTCTGAATTTCTTTTGAAGGCTAGATCGGAAAAGTATGCCAATAGAGGGGAGAGATTTATACCAGTCTTTTTTTTCTTTTTTCCCATGAGCCTTCGAAGGAAATGCATTCGCTCAGGCAACCTCACTCTCATTGTAGAGGAGCCGGGCAATCCCTTAATTTAATACATAGAGGAAATACATTTGTATTTGCCAAAGGTTTTGTATTTTGTTCATTCTCTCACCTCTTCCAGACAGCAAAGGTCCTCAAAGTACAACTGAAGCCAAAACTTTTGTTTTAGTTTTGCATAAAGTGGAGAGGGACTAGATCATCTTTCACGCTCTTACTGCTGTCCCTGTTCGGGAGATTCACCCTCTCTATTTGTCCCGGTGACCGTCATCACCGAAAGTGTAAGAAAATCCCAAATTTTGGGTTAACATGGGAACAGGAATAGATGGGCAATCTTCCTGTGGGAACACTGGTTCTGGTGACCTTGCAGACCAACAGGGATTTCTCTCTCTTTGGTGGGATTTCTTCCCACTGGGACACAGGTGGCAACAGAAAAGCTGACAGGGGTTATAACCCTTACTGTATCCAAACCTGAACTAGAAAGTTTTGGCTTCACTTCTACTTTAACCTCACTTTTCTCCCCTGCAATTAAAGCAATACACCGTATGAAAAGAACGTGTCCCCAGTTACTAGATATCCCAAAAAAAGCAGCGGTCACCAACCGGTGGTCCACGAGAAAATTTTGGTGGTCTACAGGCCCCTCCGATGCTGTGCAGGCTGGGCCGTCATTGAAGCGGCTCAGGGGCTGCCTCTCACTGACTCAAGCAGCAGCTGTCACAAGGAATGCGCGGCTCTCAGTACAGTGCGGGCTCTGCAGGAGGCGGGGCATCTCATCAGCACCCGGACTGAGCAGGCTGCAGGGCATGGAAAAAGTAGGGAGAAGAAATGTAATAGTGACTCAGTGTGGGGGAAGGGGAGGCACGGGGGCAGTGCTGAAGCTAGCGGGGCATGTGCCCTGGGCGCCACCGGCAGGGCCAGTGGCATATTCGATAGGGGGGGAAACAATGATAGACATGATGACATCACGGGTCCTTAAACCACCACAGACCAAGGGAGAAAGACACTGTGGGGACCGGTCTAGGAGCCATGCGGAGGCATCAGGCAAGTATATCTCCTTTATTTAGACCTAAAGGAGCAGAAAACCCTTGCAGTGTGGGGTAGCCCTAATGGAGTTAACTTTTAAAAATCCTGGAGTTCAGAAAGAATATGGAGACTGCGACTGCTGACTTATCCTTTCAGTAATGCCAATAGCCTTGTAATCAAGCTGCTCTAAAAGCTTTAAAGTGGGCCGTCACCCCCTTTCACTAAAAATCACAGCAGCATGCAGCTCTGCATGCTGATATAAAATCATCTTACATTCATTAGTTAAACAAACATGTTTTACATTTACTTACAAATAGGGATGAACCGATACAGTTTTTTCGGTATCGAGTACCGATATTTTTTTTTCCGGTACTCGCCGATACCGGTGCCTTGTGCCCCAATTAGTCATGACCCCCTGCCCAGCTTCCTGATTGCCTGGGAAGCTGGTATTCTATTGAAAGAACACTGGCTTTAGTTCTCGAGGCTGGCGGGCTTCCTGACCATTTTAGTATATTTTGTCCTAAAAATACTTTTTTGACAAACATTTGCGCAAATAGAGTGCGACATAAAACTAGCAGCTTTTTATTCTACAGGGCCTCTGCTTTTCAGAAAATATATAATTGCTGGGGGGTCTGAAGCTGTTTTCTAGCAAAAATTTCAGATTTGATCATGTGTATGCAAATGCAAGAAATTGCTCTGGACAGCAAGTGGTTAAATTGAGATGCCTTAACGTAGTGCCCGTTAACACACCGCACCAAAATAGAAAAGTGTAACGGGCCTAAACAAATAGCAGGTGCTGCAAATTGTTCAGAAGCTAACTGCAAGCCAAATTCAGACTCTCAGTTGTAATATTTTAAGATGAATTACTCCACAGTACCAACTGTGGAGCAATTCCAACAGTGCTACCAAGGTCCGCGAGGACTTGTTTGAAATCCATTATGGATATGTAAATACTTGAAATGTTCAAAGCCTTGCCATGGATTCACTTAATTGATTGAATAACTCACCGTTACCCTAAAAGGAACAACTCTGCCCACCTATGACAATGATAACAAGGCTTTCACTGCTGGATTTTTCATAACTCTTACCTGACAGAGAATGCCTCAATGATAGCAACAGGAAGCTGGAGACACATAACGGCATATTGGGTAGAGTGACCTCACAGCTGGAGTCACCATGAAATATAAAACAAGGTGACCGAATCCACTAGCATCCACTTTTCCACTAGAATCCACTAGCATCCATAAGTTATAACATTTTGGCAGAAGTACAAACTCAGAGGGTTAGAGAATTATTTTTTCCTAAATGCATTATTTTGCATTTAGAAATGCAGAACAGCAGTTTCCACTGCTTTGACCAAAACAGTTAAGACTAGCTATTTTCTGGCTGGAAATGTGAAATACTCATTGAAAGTATTTTAAGCTGACTAGAAAAAAAATGAAAAATTATATTGTTTTGGTCCTGAATATAATACTTACAGAAATATAATATATACAGAAATATTATCGATTCCATTCAAGAATAAGTGGTAAAAAAAGATAAATTTTTAAAGCATATAAACTCAAAAATAAAAAAGTAATACACTGCAGCTGAACAGTCCTTAGATGTGATGGCTGCATTAGTTTTCATTCTTCTGTTTTTTTTTTCCCTTTGTCACCTGGTTATCCTGTGAATAACACTTCCCATACATGGGCTATACCTACTCCTTCATCGTATCTATGAAAGGGTCAATGGATGCCATCAGGCTGGACATCAAACATGTCTGGCATTGTTTACATTACATGGGGATGATGGAAATAGTAGTGTACACAAGAAAGGTAACATTGTTTGTTCTTCCAGTTCATCTTACAGGAAGTGACAAGGAACCTGCATTTCAAGCAACATCAACAGTTATTTTCAATACTTGCTAAAAATGTTCTTAGCCTAAAAGAAAAAGAAAAAAAAGGAAAAAGAAATGCAACAATTACATGTAAGGACTGGTAAGCTGCAATATATTACTTTTTTCCCCCTGGAAAATATCCTATAAATGGCAGCCTCCAATATTCTTATGATTCCTTTTTTCATACGGAGTGCACCCATGACGCACCATTCACAAAGTACTATGACATACCAAGGAACAGGAAGCATAGTGGAGGCTGTTGTCATTCAGAATGCGCCTCCGACTGAAACTCATTTTGGAAGTCATCTGAAGAAAGGATCACATTCCTTTTAAAACCACTATGTCGCTTTAGTAAAACCTCCCCAAAGAACGCTTATCTGTATGGACTATAAATACTCGCGTATCTTCTTGCTACTAAACATCACGCCGTTTAGTTCAAATTATTCCCCGAGGTCCACTGAGAAACTGACATTGTCAGCAGGAGGAACCAGTAAGAGCTGCGGGGAACTACAGGAAATCAACAGATTTGGGACTGTTGGATTGCAAGTGTTCAGCAGAGCAGGCA